TACCCCAAGCCATTTTAGTGATCCTAGCTTCACTCCTGTGTTGGTTACTTTCTGGGAACATATTGGATATCTTTGCAACAGGTATTATACAAATGTTAGCCACGAATGAAAAATAAAAACAAAACTTGTTTAATAAGTAGACTGAAAATAAGATGATCAGATGGCCCATACTGGTCCAGCCTATACCATCTTGGTATAGGGAACCTTTAAGGGAGTGTTCCAGTAACCGTGAAAAGTCCCACATTGGAATCTAGTCAAGGGCCAAGTTGTGTTGCATCTAGTTAAAAAGCCATGAAGGGCTTTGGATGGTTTTGAAAATTACAGTATTTAAGTTAAACTACATAAGATACTTTTGTAAACAACAATATGTAAATAAAGAATTCACGAATGTTCTCTATGGATTCTGAACTCCCTGATACTTGACTTGCAAGGAAAATTTAGAGGCAGTCCAAGATTGATATTTCCTCTTTGGGCTGGAATTAAGAAGAAAGTATGAGCAGAATCCTCCCTGTTGCCTTGTCCTGGTCACAGTAATGCCCTTGTAATGCTGCAACACTTGCCAGACTCAGCCTAGAAACTATACAAAATATCAGGAAATTATCATGCTCTGGCAATTTGGCCTATGTAGACTGGTCCACAACATGATAGCTTGAATCCAAGAGCAGTTTTTATCTGCTGTATGCTCCCACATTACTAACAATTACATATTTGATAAGCCACACCTTCTGAAATGTAATTTTCAAATGCACACACATCTCCCAATAATACTATACTAGAGAATGTTATGTCTAGTCAGCCAATGAATTAGAAATGACCTAAGCAATACATACAGTGGGTTAACACTAGAAACCATGATCAATATTGAAAACAGTAGTTAAATCCAACCCTGGAGTACAGAAAGACTCCAATGAGTAGTTAATAAGAATGAGTATGTTTTATAATGACAAATATGCCAATTATCTTGAATTTGATCATCACATAGTGTACACAAATATTGACAGTCAACTCTGTACTCCACAAATATGCATAATCAATTATGTTTCAATAAAGACAAAAAATGAAAAAGACTTTTCATGACATAAAGAATGGCATTTTAAAGCCAAGCTAGAATTTGAATCAGGTTCGAAAATATAAAAACATTCCATCTGCTCAGGTGCTCCTGGAAATTCTAAGCAGTAATTATAGCAATAAACAGTGAATCTATTGCTAGGGTCACATAGTCTTTTTGTTAATTTGTATTTACAATGAGTGACTCTGTGTATAATCATCCAAATCTCTGAGATAGGCTGTTAAGACCTGCTGAACGGAAGTTTGACTATGAAGATCTTTTAAGAAAATTCTTGTCAGATATTTCTAATATTTATAAGAACATTACAGGGGGAAAGCAATAATAATAGAATAGACAACCTCTTCATCTCTTGGAAGTGGGGATACCCACATTCAGATCTGGACACTGAGGTAAGATGATGAAAAAAGTGATGCAAAATGAAGGTTTTTCAGAACTATAGAGAGGAAAGATTCAGTTTTGCATAGTATAGTTTTAAAATTATTTGCCCTAGTACCCTACTGTCTTGTGATTTTTATACCTTCAATTGAATTTGTAACTTGATCACCAAATGTGGCCTTGATTTTGAGCTTTCAAAGGGAATTAAAGTCCTCTATTTTAACTTCTCTCAGGTTATCGTTAGTTTTATGTGTCAACTTGACTGGGTTGTGGGGTGCCCAGATATTTTTTCAAACATTATTCTGGATATGTCTGTGAGGGTATTTTTGGATGAGATTAACATTTGAATTGGTAGTCTGAGTAAAGGAGATTGTCCTCCTCAATGTGGGTGGACCTCGTCCAATTTGTTATAAGCCTGAATAAAAGAAAAGGCTGACCCTCCAGCAAGTAGGAAAGAATCTCTCTTACCTGACTGTTGTTGAACTGGAATATCAGCTTTTTCCTGCCTTTGGGCTCAAAATGAAATATTGGCTCTTCCTGGGTCTCCAGTGTGCCAGCCTTTGTACTGGAACTACACCATTGGCTCTTTTGGGTCTACAGCTTGCTGACTTATCCCAAAGATTTTGGGACTTGTCAGCCTCCATCATCACATGAGCCAATTCCATGCAGACAGACACACATGTCTGTGCACACACACACGTACTTCAAAAAGTTTGTAGAAGAGTAGAACTAAAAGATAATACAAATCTTTCCACGAACTTTTGGAAGACCCCCTTGTATCTTTCCCTTTAGTTCACAGAAAGATGTGTCCCTTCTTTTTAAGTTCAAATCCTCCATCTAGACTCCATCTTTTTAACATCTTCAACCTCTCCCTCTTCTTGGCTCCTTTCCATATGCTTGAAATCATGTATATGTCTTTTCTATTTAAACAAAAAACATTGCTTGAGTTTTACTCCCCATATCACATTCCCATTCCACCCCATCTCAGCTTCCATCATATTCCCCTCTTTTTTCATTGCCAAATTTCACAAGAAGTAGTGAGTATCTGTGATTTCAGTGCTTCACTGCCCACTCATTACTTAACACCCTGAAATCAGGCTTCTGTCCCCACCAAATGAAAACAGTTTTTCAGGAATTTATTCTAATCACCAATTTACCAATCTTGGTTCTGGGGGCACAGGCCTGACTGTAGTAGACTAAGTATCACAGAGAAAGTGAGGAAGTGGAGACAGTGATGGGCTATTCTCTTAAGAAGGCTGGACAACACGGAGGAGACAAAGAAGGAATGAAATCTAGTGGAGGACACCAAGGTGGACAGAAGCTTGTTTGCTTCAATGGGAAAAACTTAAGCAAGTCTGCAGGTTGAGGTGAAAGAGCCAGCAGAGAGGGAAAGAAAACACAAGAAAGAGAAGGGATAATTGATAGAGTAAGGACCAGGAAGTATTGAAAAGAGAGAAAACCATTTCGAAACACTTGGGAAGTGACTTTTTTTAGATAAACATATAGTAAACAAATTAATGGAGTGCCTGGAGTATCTGTCACTATTTTTCTACCCAGAATACCTTATCTTTCTAATACCTGATCTGCCATCATGGAAATGAGGGAATTCTAAATTCTGCTATCAGAATTGTGGGAGAATTTGAATGCCAATTGTATTTTCCCACAGAAGAAATAAAGCTCTAAATCCTGACTAAGTATAGTTAAAAGAGCACTATTACCCTCTTCAGTTGTACTACAGGGTTAAATAGGGTTTTGTGATCTGGTCTGGAGATCAAACCACTGCTTATGACATTGTTTCTATGAAGAAACTCTGACTTCTCTAAAAGTCATAGTATTCAGATTGGGAACTGCTTATTGATAGCTAGAAGGTTGTCCACCTATTCCAATGACATCATCATTAAAAAAGACAAACAAACTTGGAAACTCATACAGGGAAACTGCTTTCAAAATCTATTTCCAAACCATCCAAGAAAACCAGCATCATTGACTTGTAGGCACAGCTCAATTTAACACTAAAGAGGCATTACTCATCTTGTTTTGACTTTCTTACTCACCAGCCTTGGCTCCAAATGACTTTTAAACTGTTTTCTGAAATCAATTTCACCTTCAGAGTAGAAATGCTTTTGGCCCGTGAAGAAATTCCAAAGAATGGATCACAGGTTCTGAAGACGATATCAGAGAGTTCCCAAAGATTCTTTCAAATGATGGTAGTCACTTCAAAAATAAGTTTATAAATTCCAAAGGTACCACTTAGAAGGGGCGAGAAATCACTTTGCTAAGTTCTGATATATTTGTTTAAAATATTTTTTAAAAAAAATATGGATTGATTCCTTGTCTGCTCAGCTAGATTGTAAGTGCCAAGAGCCAGGGACTGTGGTTTCTTTGTAGTCCTACTTGTATTCCTGTTTGTAACCTTGGAAAGAATTCATACTTAATGAATGTTTTAGACTGATAATCACTATGAAAGCACATTCTTTTGAGTCTGGTATTTATGATCTAGGCATGTAAATAGTAGTAAATATCAACTGGGCTGTTTTGAATAGAATGTCATACATGTAATAGAAAAAAACTTGCAAAAAATGGAAGATGTAGAATGGATGATGGCATACTGCCCAAACTAGCTTTTAACACAAACCAAATGGGAGAAAATAGAGAAGACCCTAGAAAATAGAAAGATCAATATCATTTTTTGGGCATAAGAACAGAACTGCATATTGAAATTTAACAACTCAATCTGACAGTTTTGGCATAACTCCCATGCTACAAACTACTCCACTTTTCTCTTTCAATTCTGAAGACTTCCCAGATCCCCCAAATCCTATCCTGTTGACTAGCTCCACATCTGACATTTAATTCATCAGCTATTACTCCAGAGACTTTGCTGGACATGGCTCCCGATCTCAAAATCAAATTTACTGTCTTATTGTCAATTTCTGGAATTTGTTTCTAAATCGTCCTGAATATATCCCAAAGAGTAACATTTTCCCAATTTATAAAAATACACCAAAATGCAAGCTAACAAGACTAATATCCTAATGAAAAAATGTTCACAGATTGATATTTTAATATCTATGTCGTCTACTTTAAAACATGCAAATGAAATCTGGGTTATTGTTGAAGAGCTAAAATGAAAAATGATGATGTTGGCAAGAAAAAGAGTACGAATATTCATGAAGAAGGACAAGCATATATTTTCCTAAAATATAGTGCTCTCCTTCCCAGAGGAGGCCATCTGGCCTCTTTGATTGCTAGTTTAAACCAATTAGCACAAAATGGGGATACTACGTTACTGGGTTTCACCACAAGCCTTCTGGTTTCATTCTTAATCTTACGGTTTCCTCTTAAATGTTTTCTGTTAATGGTACAAATTGAAAACAACAACAGCATAAACTCATGTTTAAGCTGAACAGAGTCCACTAGAGCTCAAGCAAGCACTTCTCATTAATATCTATAATCATTGCCTTATCCCAGAGAGACAGAGATGGTAAGAATTCAAGCCTGCTCACGCACACAAACTGTTCTGTTGGCCATTGGAACAGCCAGGCAGCCAGCTTACCGTTTACTTCTTGTCTATGCTGCCAGCACCTGAGGTCCTGGGAGTATCTCAAGTGGGGTGGCAATGGTGTCAGAAACACTGATGCCCCTGATTTCATATACGTTTCCTCAAAGCGAGTCATGATGACACTGGAGTGAAAGGCTCACATTGCTTTACAATTGATCACAAGGAGAATAACACTAACTTGACTTGTTTACGTGTTACAATTACTGGTACAAAACTCCAAGTCCCTCAATACTGCCTATATTCTCAGTATTTTGGGTGCAAGCTTCCTCTCCTTAGCTGCTTGCCAGCCAGTGAAGTCTGATTTCTCCTTTGTCCAAATTTTCTTCTTAATAAGACATTTTCCCACAGATTATTGTTTTACTAGTCACCACCTACTACTTTCGCTTATATCTGAGCCATAGCCACTCCTTTGCATAGTCTTCATTGTTCTGTGAATTAATTTAATCTCTTCTGTAGGTAAAAGGAGGCAGCACCTAATTATCCAAGTTTTAATCAGAGATATCCACTACTGAATTTGCATGCAATCATGATCAGTTAACTACACAAATATTATAGAGTAGGGCAATGTTTTCAAAGTATGGCATGCTTACTATTTGTGATATGTGAGATAACTTCAGGCTAATATTTTTTATGTCAAAAGTTATAAATTTATCTAATTTTATGGGTATACACAAACACATATATACATATATATGGCTAGCACTAGAAAACTGATTACTCAGGTTCTATTGCCTAGGATAAGATTAAGGTTTCTAAAAAGGAGATGAGCCACTTTTTAAAATTAAGTAAATACTAGATGTTAACATAGATATGCCAAAATCATGAAAGTGGTACCCAAAAGACCAAAGTTTGGGAAACATTTGCGTTGTGTTTAAGAACTCTCTCTTGTCTTAAAGCCCCGTTCTACCACTAACCAGCTGTGTGACTTTGGGCATGTCTTCCTCATTGAGTCTCAGTTTCTTCATCCATGAAATGTACTGATAATAGCACCTACTTCACAAGAGTGAGAAACAAAGAAGATATAACCTTTCTTTCTGAAATAAATAAGTATATCCAAATTAGGGCTTGAGCCTTAAAATTGGTCTCTCACGCAGGATAAAAGGAAGGAAAACTATAGTTATCAGACAAAATATAGCAACATCTAACAAGCACAGGTATTGGAAGACGGTGATTTGAGGGAGGGGTAATAGAGTCTTTGCTCAAACAATCTTCCAGGACATCAAAGGTTGTTATCATCATCATCATCATTATTATTATTATTACTTGGTAGATGTTGAAAGAATAGGTTGAGTTGCATAACAGATTCTCACCTGGAATAGGAAACTGCTCTTCTAATGACCTTTGCATACCTCTGCACTTACCACATTTGTTTAGAAGTTAACTATTTCCATGTCTGTACTCCTATCGGCTTGTGAGTATTTTTAGGGCAGCAACTCTGTCTTTCCAACTTTGTGTTCTAACACCTAGCACAGTGTTTGGCCCAACATAATGACTCAACAAATGGCTGTTGAACTGAAAATAACAAGAATTATTTTGTGGCTTTAATTCAAAACCCTTAAAATCCTGGTAAATTTATGATGTAATATTCTGAATTGACCCATGTATTAGATAAAATTAGAGAGATTAGAGTCAGTTAAAGAGATTCTAATTAGAGTGAATTAGAAAGATTCACTTCCTGACTTTTAAATTGTCCCAAAGTAGTAGGGGACGATTTGCGTTTCTGAATAAGCCTGGACATTATGAAAATGGAAAGACCCTAGGTGAAATATAATGAGATAGTGAATATAACGCAAAAGAAAATCATGTTATTCCCCAAGCAAAACAAGTACTTTGAGAAATCCTTGGGGAGAAAAGAGAAAACTCCACTTCCCATAGATGACAGACTCCATATCCCATTCCTACAATTTATTTTATTGTTAAAAATAAATTTCTATTATTTCCTTAATACAATCTGGTATTTGTGGCATGATGCCTGAAGATGTTGTGTCACCCCAAATAAACTGCTCTACGTTCCCTTGTGATTTAGGCTAACAAGTAATTTTTGGGAAAAAAAAAATCAAGACTGTTGAAACATGAAACCACCTTTCTTTACTTTTTATTATCAAGATCAGATGATCTTAAGAATTCCCTTGATGATTATTCTGTAATAGATTGTATTAGTCCGTTTCTGTTGCTTATAATGAAATACCTGAAACTGGGTGATTTATAAAGAAAAACAAAATTTATTGTTTATAGTTTCTGAGGCTGGGAAGTCCAAAGTCCATCTGGTGGTGGTGACAGCAACCCAGGTGTCTCACATTGCAAGATGGTGGAGGCAGAGAGAGCAGAGAGACAGACTCTCTTCTTCTTTTAAAGGCCTCAGAACCATGTCCCTGACCACTATTTTTAATCCATTCATGACTGCACAGTCCTACAATCTAATCACCTCTTCACAGCTCTGCCTTTCCATTACTATAATAGGATTTCCTACCCTCTTAACAGTCACAGTGGGGGCTAAGTTTCTGATACGTAAAACTTGGGTGAAACAGTTCAAGCTTCAATGAGTTATGGGGAGACATAATTCAATCCACTATATTCCACCCCTGGCCCCCCAAAACTCGTGTCTTTTTCACATGCAAAAACATTCATTTCATCCCCAAAGTGTTAATTTGTTTCAACTCAAAAGTCCAAAGTTCAAAGTCTCATCTGTGAAAGCAAAAACAAGTGATCTACTTCCAAGATACAATGGTGGGACAAACATAGGGCACATATTCCCATTTGAAAATGGAGAAATAGGCCAAAAGAAAGGCATAATAGGTCCCAGACAAGTCCAAAACCCAGCAGGGCAGGTATTAAATCTCAAAGCTGGCAAATCATGTACTTTGAGTCCATGTTCAACGTCCTTTGCACACTGGTTGGGGAGCTTGGTCCTCAAGTCCTTGGGCAGCTCTGCTCCTATGGCTTTCCTGGTCTCAGGCCACACTTCAGGTCTCCCAGGTTGGTGTTCCACTCTGGTAGCTCCACACGTCTAGGGCTGAACGGTGTTCCTGCTCTCATGGCTGCACTAGGCCTGGCTATTGGGCTTTCTCTGCTGCAACTCTGATCCCAGGTTTCTGCTTGACATTGCTCTAGTGTAGTGAAGGCTGTCTGCAGTGACTCTGCCCCTGAGACAGATCTCCTCCTGGGCACCTTGAATTTTCCATAGATCCTTCGAAATTGGGGTGGAGGCTCCTAAGCCTTCAGAGCTCTGGCATTTGTGAGCCTACAACCCTAACACCACGAGGATGCTGCCAAGATTTTTGGCTTGTATTTTCCAAAGCTGCAGGTCCAACCACACCTGGGGCCAATTTAACCACTGCTGGAACAGCCAAAGCAGCTTCCAGAGGTGGGCCTGCGGAGTGAGCCCACAGAGGGTGCCTCCGCCTGTTCCCCAAGACCATTCTGTCTCTCTAGGCCTTTGGGCCTGAAATGGAAGGGCTGGCCTCAGATGCTTCTGTAATGCCTTCGGGGCCTTTTTCTCTTTCTCTTGATATTCCCTTTCTTTCGCACTAATCTTCTTAGCTAATGGTCGCTGTGCTGCACCATTGCATGCTCTCTGCTTCTCTACACATGGCCAGGCTGAAAATTTTCTAAATTTTTACTCTGCTTCCCTGACTTTATGTTATGCCTTTGCCACCATAACTCAGTGTAGGCTGTTACCAGTAGCCATGCAGCTTTCCTAATGCATTGTTGCTAGAAATTTCTTCCACCAAACTCCTAAGTTCCAACTTCCACAAAGTCCTAGGGCATGGACAAAATTCAGCCAGATTCCTTTTCAATTCACAGCAAGGATGACCTTTGCCACAGTTTCCAATAAGTCTCTTCTCATTTACATTCAAGAACTCCTCAGAATGGCCTTTACTATCCATATTTCTATCAGCATTCTGCTTGCTACCACGTACCTACACCATACCAATCTTCTGTGTGGAATATGCTATAAAGCATATGTACTTCACAGGGCCTGGTTTTCCAAAGCCTTTCAGTTTCAAATATTGACCTTGAGGAAGACTGGAAATTTTCCTCAGGCTATAAAGTCTCTGGTGTAAAATAAAGATTTGTGGCACAGCCAGGCTGCTGGCTCAAGGACAGACAGGTTACTGCTTGATATGTATAGATACTGGAAAATTGTTGGAGGGAGAAGGAATGTTTGCTAAGATCAAACTGTTGTTGATAGGACCATTTAATTGTCTACTGGAATGTCATCTGGCTTGTTTCACTGAAAGTTACCAGCCTATTTTGTTAAACTATAATCCCACCTATGTTCTCTTCCTGTGACTTCCTGGTCTGGAAAATAAATGCAGGAAGAGAACCCCAATTCAGGGTTAGTTTCCTGAGGAAGGGATGCCTCTCGCTGGAGGGTCCCAGGAAGATTAACCACTTTAGGGTCTCTCACTGCTCAGAAGAGATGGGCTTTGAGTAATTATTTATTTCTCTGTCACCCAGGGGAAGTGGGGTGACAAATCCATGGGGGGCAAAGCAACACAAAGCAACACTTCTGTATTAGTCCATTTCTGCTGCTTATAACAAAATACCTGCAACTTGGTAATTTATAAGAAAATAAAATTTATTGCTTACAGTTTCAGAGGCTAGGGAGTCCAAAGTCCAGGGGTGTTGCTTATAACAAATACTTGAAAATGTGGAAGTGGCTCTGGAACTGGGTGTTAGGCAAAGGTTGGAGGAATTTGGAGGACCCAGAAGAAGACAAAATGATGAGGGGAAGTTTGGAACTTCTTAGAGACAGGTTATGTGGCAGTGAGCAGAATGCTGATAGAAATATGGATAGTAAAGGCCATTCTGAGGAGGTCTCAGATGTAAATGAGAAGGGACTTATTGGAAACTAGAGCAAAGATCATCCTTGCTGTGAACTGGCCAGGAACTTGGCAGCATTCTGTTCATGTACAAAAGTTTTATGGAATGTGGAACTCAAAGGTGCTGACCCAGGATATTTGATGGAAGAAATTTCTAAGCAGCAAAGCATTAAGGAAGCTGCATGGCTGCTTGGAACAGCCTATGCTGAGTTATAGCAGAAAAGTCATGAGATAATGCTGGAATTTATAATTCAAAAGAAAGCAGAGGGCCAAAATTGGAAAACTTTCA